AACTAGATCTTAGCGTGACAACCTGAGGTGACACTGTAATGCCAAGCATTAATGAGTTTGAGGATACTCTTCATTGAATCATTTTTTTCTTTTCAAAAATATTTTAGAATTATCAAGCAGATGGATAGGTATGTATATGTTTCCAGATGCTCAGTTTATTCCGTTTGTGGATATTACTCTTTTCTAAAGCAAAATAGTACTTATTCCCAAAGCAGTGAGTTTATTTTTACATTTGGACAAAAGAAATAAATCTTTAAAGTCCCATAGTCACAATGGTGCTACAATTGAGAGTATGTGAGTTCAACTTTACAAATGGTCTTTTATTTATGTAAAGCCTAAAAAGTTGGGGTAGGATGGTATGGGGTGGAGAGCACATCAGTATTAATTGTTCTCCACATCACTAAAAATATCACAACAGAGGCCTCCAAATTACTATCACACTCCTGAGAATATAAACATGGATAGTGTTTACATTTCCGAACTCAACTAATGACTCCAGGACACAATATTTTAGAGACCCTTCAACAGCCTAGAGCTCCTCCAGATGTATTGGATTTCAATTATTATAATTCCTAACCATGCAAGAGAATAAGATAATAATTGTTCATCGGCTCACAGTTGATGGATTGGTTAAGCAGGACTACTACATCTATTGATCTATTGCAAAGCATCAGAAAATAAGTTGGATGAAATATTCTCAGCATACCTGACAGGGAGAAGTAGGAAGACAGAACTGTAGAAGAAGTTAGAAATGGAGAACAAACCAAGAAAGGGCTAAAAGTCAACGAGCGAATACTGGAGTTCAGAAAAGCTCACCTGGGCAGGTAAGCCTTTTCTGGTTAGCACAATCCAGGATTAGTAGCATCAGTACAGTGCTGGATGGCTCTTGATGAAGGTTGTCATTTGCAGTATTTTGGCAAACAGGTAGTCCTCAACTTACAACCACAATTGGGGTCAGAATTTCTACTACTAAGCAATGTGTTAAGTGAATCATGCCCAATATTGTGACCTTTTTTTTTTTGCCATGGTTGCTTTGCAAGCCATGCAGTTGTTAAGTGAATCTGGCTTCCCTCCCCCATTGATTTTGCTTGATTACAACTAGTGATCACATGACTTCAGGATGTTACAACCATCGTAAAGACATGTTGGTTGCTGAACGCCTGAATTTTGATCACACAATCAGGCTAATGCTATGATAGTTGCATGTGCAAGGATCAGTTGCAAGTTGTTTTTTCACTACCATTGTAACTTCAAATAGTCACTATGAATGGTTGCAAGTTGAGGACTACCTGTATATGATGGGGCAGAAATCCAATAGTTCCTGAAAGCCACCATATATAATAATTAAATTATATTTAATTGCATTTGCTTTTATTAAAAATGTTTTCTGAAAACTGTCCTGCAAATTTATAGCACTAGCACTTATATACTGCTTTGCGGTGCTTTACAGCCCTCTCTAAGTGGTTTTACAGAATCAGCATACTGCCCCGCACCATCTGGGTCCTCATTTTACTGACTTCAGAAGGATGGAAGGATGAGTCAACCATGTCCAGAATTTCATACAACAGCTAAAATCTTTTTGCTTTCTTTCTTTCTGGTTTTGTCCTATTCTCTTTTCCACCATGTCTAATAGTTTATTGGCAGTGCTGCATACCCTTTGGAATAAGTGAAAGGGTGGGCCAGTCAGCAAGTAGGTTTCATATTGCAGTGGCTACTTTGAAAGCCTGCAGAACATCTCAACCCAACATGTTTTTTAATTATCCACTGCAAATTTTAATAATATAGTTAAACTATGTTGTTATACCCACCTGTTTTTCCTCCTTAAGGTGCTGCCTGAAGCATTTTCATTATCCTGTCAGATGTCAGGGGTTGAGTTTACATATTAATGTTTTGCAGAGCTTAGAAAAATATTGGTGCAATCAGCAAGCTCTTAGTTTAGCAAGGTCTTCTCTCCCTTATTTTGACTGAAAACATGCTAAGAAAAACTGTTAAAGCAGCCTACGCCAACACATGGTGTAACCTTGTTCAACAAGGAAGTTGCTTATTTTATTGACTTTTTAGAACAATTCATAGTCTGCTTTCTTTCGAGAAGAAATTAGCATAAGCATTTTTTTCAGCTAAGATGAATGAGTAAGTCCTGTGGGCACATGCTTTAAAAAAATTCCTCATTTTCCATTTGCTTCTCCTGATTCAAACCACATATATTTGTGTGGGAAGTACCGATTACTCAGAGATCATTTTGTCACCTGCTCTTTGCCAACACCATTTTCCCCAGACAGAAAACAATGTGATATGGGGGGGGGGGAATGAATACATTATAAGGAAATGCAGAAATATATAGAAAATCAAAGCAAGTTGCTTCTTGATTTGAAACAACTCAGATTTTAAAATTGTTCCTCATTACTTCCACCTGAATGGTTTTGTGGGGTTATGTCACAGTGTTGGGGAGACCTCTACTGGTCATATGCAGAAAGTAAAATTCAGTTTATCCTATAGTAGTGATTTAACACGAGAAAATATTTTTATGAGTGTTACAGTGACAATCAAATAGAATACATTTGTTTTGTGAGATATGTATATATACTGGAATCATTAGGAGGGGTTTGGGTTTTTTTGTTTTTTTTTGGAAAATGGTTGCGTGCATGCACAGATGGCCCATTTCCTTCAAATACAGGTAAGGAACAAGGGCAGTCGGGTGGGCCCTCCAAAGCACTGTTCCAGTACGTGGCTGCTACTTCTGGCAGGCACCGGTACGCGCGTATCAGGGAATACCATCGGCAACCAACCACTGGTGTACTGGGAGAATAAAATTATTGTGGGATCCTTGATGTACTCTGAGCATGGTTGTTTTCTTGAAGATGTTTCACTACAAACTAAGTAATATCTTCAGTGCTTGAAATGTTACCTAGATGAACAATTAAATGTCTGTAAGAAAACATCCAAACTTGGAGGACACCAAGGACTTCACAGCTCAAGCATAAGCTACAAATATTATCTTCTATTAACATAATTACTTCTTTTCACAATTCAATGCTTTAAAAAAATCTACTTTGTCTTCCAAACTGGTGTTATCTCATTTTTCTCAAGTAGGACAAATGGCAACACAAAGATGAATGCTCATTATATCATAGGGCAAATCAAAATAACTAATCATGCATACTAGGTTGAAATCTAAAATGGGTCTTTTCAATATTAAAATAATATAAAGAGAATAAATCTCATGTTGATCAGTTTCTTTTACTCCCTAATTGAATTTTTATTAGGACCTATCAAGATCTGTAGAGTAGGGAGAGAATTTGTGCAGAATCTTGCAATTACAAGATCAAAAACAGATTTTCTTTGGATCCATACCTGGCTTAACCACAATTCATGTTAAAAAACATGATTAAGTGGATTCAAATAGCCATTTATGCCTTAAGTCATGCCTTACATACAATGTTGCCTGAATTCACAGTATAAGAAGAACATCAAAAAAGTGAATGTTAGTACATTCTGTAAAACAGATGTTAATGTCATTGAGACAGATTTCCCCCCTATTTTTGGACCATTTTGAATTTAATTTAAACAAAATAAAATAAAATAATAATAATAATAATAATAATAATAATAATAATAATAATAAATTTTTTTAAATAAAATAAATTTAACTAAAATATGAAATCTGCTGATGAGTATACATTACATTAATTGATAAAATTATGAAATCAAAGAATGTTTGTGATGGTTCTGCTATATGTTACATTTTTGAAGCACAGTTGTAAGTGGGTGGGTAGAAGACACGCCAACTGGATTGAGGAGGTCATGAGAATGCTGGGAGTTTGTGAAAAATGCTATGCAGGTCATGGATGGTGTACAAGGGGGCAGCATGTCTTGGGGAGTGGGCGTGGGATGAACAAGAGTTGCTGCACAGATCGGTGAAGATGTGCAAGGGGAATGGCACAGATTGGGGAAAGTGCGTGAGGAATGGGTTGACCAGGAAGGGTGTGCGGGGCTTCCTTCCTTCTTGTTCCTTGTTTTTTTTCCTTCCTTCCTTCCTTCCTTCCTTCCTTCCTTCCTTCCTTCCTTCCTTCCTTCCTTCCTTTCTTCCTTCCTGGCATTCTATAATTTAGCCCATTTGAGGTACCTTTGTTGACAAGGGTTTGCCCCAGGGGTGGGTTCCTGACAGTTCTAACCTCTTCTATAGAAGAGGTTCCACAAATCTACAGTGCCGTTTAGAACCGATTCCAGATCCCTCCTCCCACCCATCTGCACATCATTAAGATGAAGAGCGAGAGGAGGAATTCTGGGAGTTGAAGTCCACAAGTCTTAAAGCTGTTTGAACACCCCTAGGGTTTTTTTTCTAAAGGGTTAGGGGTGCAAGGGTCTTGTAAGTTGATAGCTTTAAGACTTGCATGCTTCAAATGCCAGAGTTTCTGAGCCAACATTTTGGTTGCTAAGCAAGAGCGTTGTTAAGTGAGTTTCACCACATTTTACAAGTTGCCCACACCCACCCATTCACATGACTGCCAAGCCACTCCCACTCAGCCACATTGCTGGCAAGCCACTCCCATCTGGTCACATGGCCGGAAAGCCACTCTCACCCGGTCACATGGCCACCAAGCCACTCCCACAAAGCAGGCCACACCTACAGAAAAGGTTCTAAAATTTTTTTGAAACCCAGCACTGGTTTGCCCTATGACGCACCATTTCACCAATTAAAGGTTACAGACACAAGAGTTTAAATAGGAGAAGTGGTATACAGATTTAGTTATATTTTTAAGCACTACATTGCACACAATGTTTAAAATTCTTGTCAGATAAAGCCAAGCTACTTTTGAAAAATGTACAGCTTCTTTGGTTTGTCTCTACTCTTTGTTGGCCTTGCACAGATATCCCTTATACACGGAAGTATCCAGTTCTAGGAAAAAATTAGAGTTCTGTGTGGTAAATTCATGTTGTGTAAGCACTGAAAACCACAGCTAGTTTGTATTGGAAACAATGAAGCAGGAAGAAAGAATTCACTTTGAACCCAACCAGTTCTAGCTCCTTCTAGTGATCATCTACTGAAGAGAAACACAAAACTCAGGAGTTTCTGCACACTGGGAGATTTCCATTATGCCAGGCTACTCAGAATTTTATTTCAACGTTAATCATGGTTATCTAGAAGGACTGGTCCGAGGCTTTAAAGCTGGAATCTTGAAAGCTTCTGATTATGTTAACTTAGTCCAGTGCGAAACTCTGGAAGGTAAGTTGGGTTATGTTGAAGTTTAGTGTTTTGGCTTTGGGAAAATTATTTCTTTCTCTCCCTCTCTCCTTCCCTCTCTCTCCCCGCCCCTCTCTCTCATCTCTCATCTATCTAACTATATCAATCTATCAGTCTGTCTGTCTGTCTGTCTTTCTGTCTATCTATCTATCTATCTATCTATCACCTATCATCTATCATCTATCATCTATCATCTATCTACTGGCTACCTTTCTCAGAAAGGGATGCTGGGCTCTGTATAATAAAATGTTAAAATATGTAACAGTATATATAAAAGTTTAAAAATAGATAAGAGATTAAAATTAGTTAAAAGGTAAGGAAGGCTTTTAGGGGACTAACCAGCCTGAAAGCTGCATGCTTCTTTGGGCTTCCCAGAGAGGCCATAGAGCCATGGAGCTTCCTTTTCGGAAGGCCAAGAGAGTGGCGGCCTGCCTCACATCTGGGGGCAATGGCAGAGGAGGCCCTCTTCCTGGACCGCACCAGCTGGAGTTCTTTAATTTATGTGGTCTGCAACATAACTTTCCTGCCTGATTGGGTGGGATGCTGGACTATGTAATGGGATGAAGATGGTTCTGTAAATAACCTGACCCCATGCCATGCAAAATTATATTATCTCTCTTAAAAAGAGAAAAACATCAATATCTTGGCATTAGATTAAACTTTAATAAAAGAATGCTGGATATATCACTGGAATTACCAGAATTAAAACCTGGGATTATTTTACAAAGAGATCTTTAGGTCTCAGGTAGGGTGTAGGCAGAAATCACCTTGAGAAAAAAATTGGAAAGCTTTTTGGGTTACATTATGACTTCTACTAGAATTGTGCTTCTGTTATGCAGTTCTAATAATAATGAGAATATGTTCTTCTATAGTCTAATATTTAATCATATTAGTAACCAGGTCCATTAGCTACATTAAGACATTACCTGAAACAAGCAGATGTAGAATGTTAGGACAATTTTTTTTTTTAATTCACAAGCATAAACATTTTTCGCTACACTTTAGGATGTCTTGAAGCTGCAACAGATTTATAAAGTTAGGGTTAGATTTATAAGAGAAGCTGCAATAAATATGTACATATATCTAATATATGTCTATTAAACTATTGGTGGGCTGCATTCAATACTTACAAAGGAAACTAGAATAGGGTTAGATGAACTATAGATGAACCTAAAGCAATTCCAGAGTAATTAATACAAATGTAATTACTTAAAACAAAAAGCCACAAATTCAGGAATCCCTACTAATTTATTTCACGTGATCATGTGCATGACTAAAAATTACTAGAAATACATTATGTTATATTTATGGTATTTTAAATTTCCAATGTAATTAGAGTCACTTGAATGCAGCAACAGGCTGAGGTTTTGAGGTCATTATAGGCTATTTTTGGATCCTGGTCTTTCTGAATTCGTCCGAGAGGTGATTAACTCCAGGCAAATCTTGCATTTAGAATTTCATCTATTTACTGTTTCCATCTAAAAAAAGAAAAGAAAGAAAAGAAATAAATTAGGAAGCAAATATGCAGGCCAATGCCTGTGATTATTTCACATTTCACCCTTTTACCGCAGGTAAGGCTATAATCTTTACAATGTTTTACCAACAGACCACTGTTTTGAATTCTGCAGCCCTTTGTTTAGCATACAATCCTGATTAGTTTATATTGGCAGGCTTTAGCCTAGCAGAAATAAAGTGACTGCTAGATTTAACCTTCAAAGTCTGCATGATGCTAGATATCAATAAAGACATACAGAAAATGTGTCGCTGTCCTTCACAGCTGTCTGGATATTTACAGCACCGATCTAGTAGCACAATCTCTTCACACATCTCCAACTCCACCTTTTTTGTACATTCTGGTACATTTTTCTAATTTATTTAGCATACAATTATTTTCTCTCTCTTCCTTCCAACTAAAATGAACTTCCAAAAGTTTGGATTTTTCTTAGAAAAACTGGCCCACCCAAACAACAACTATCATTATGAGAATGATACAAAGGAACTGGAGCTTTCAATCTCATTGTAATGGAAAGAGGAAATTACTGCTCCTGGAATGGAAGAAGTTAGTTTCCAGAAATTATGTAGGAATTGATGGAAATAAAAGGAGGCATGTAAGATGGTTATTGCCTACTGCATTCCTGAAGCTTAAACATTTTGAAACATATTAATTAAGCTCGCACTCATAGTGTGCTCTGCAAGAAATCTTCACTTATAAACTATGGTATGACAATATACAATAGGTTATGTGACTCAACATGATAGCAGCTTTGCAATACTTTGGTCTTGTAACATCTACAGCTTGGATTGATGCATTTCTTTGAACTAGATTTTCCTACCTGGTTGGTTTTGATCTATACAGCTGCAATCTTTTTAAAGAAAAAAAATCAAGATGTTCATAGTTTTCTTTTTGAAATGTTCCTATAAAAGCTGCTATAATTTTTTTACTGCTTAGGGAATAAATACCTAAGGGCTACCTCGCTATTTGGAAATTTTAAATTTATCAGACTTGAACATTCTGTTTCTACAAAAATCCACCCTACTTGGAACAACTTATATCCTCCGACGTTACCTTAACAGTTCCTAGGTCCTTGGTTAGGACTCGAGCTGTTGAGCTACCAACTAGCCCCAAAGGCTGTGAATCTTACCAAAGACTAACCAAATAACAATAACAATAACAATAATAATAATGAGGAGGAGGAGGAGGAGGAGGAGATCTTGTGGCACTTTCGAATACAAAAGGATCGTCATTTGGAGCACAACATGCCAGATATCATGGCTGTAGAGAGCTGAAGTGTACAGTTTATTGATATCACTGTTCCTGGAGATGCCAGAGTCGAAGAAAAAGAACTAGAAAAAATAATGAAATATCGCAACCAGGTCATCGAAACTACATGGCTATGGATGAAGCATGTAATAGTGATACCCATTGTCATCGGGGCACTTGGCCTCATGTACAAGAATTTTACAAGATACACCAACAAATTGCAGCTTGCTGCAATAACACCAGTAGAACTGCAAAAAAGCTGCACTACTCGGAACATCTTATATTTTAAGTAGGTACTTGGTTGATACCTAGGACACTGGCAGCAAACCATTAGCACCAGTCACTGCTATTTGTAATGCATTTTTGAATGTTCAGTTGGCTGAGTTTCATGTTTAATGAATAAAGTAAATAATAATAATAATAATAATAATAACAATAACAACAACAACAACAACAACAACAGTAATCTGTTTATAGAACAAAACAATATCTGGATTTATATTGGTTACCATTTTAATGGTGAGTGCAATCCCATATAATAATCCCTATTTGGAGTATTGGGAACAATTAAAGGATATAGTCCCTGTAGTTCAACTTCCAGGAGCAGTCTAGAAATCTGAACTGGATCATTTCGTGGCATGCAAGGGCTGCTATCCCGAAGGCAGTTGAATCAAGGTAAGTAAGTGGATAGTATATAAACTGCAGTTAACTGAAATTGAACTCAATGTCAACTATGATTAAATTGCTTACACTCAGTCAGAATGATTGCCCCTTATATATTTAATCTGGGATACCAGATGTGAGTTGCATAATTCCACATAGCCATTAGATAACATCTGAGTTAGACTTTCTCATTGCTACAATCTAATGGCAGTTTAGATCTGATAGCCCTATTTTGAGTAGAGATTATGATTGCCATAGCAAGTAAATTTTGCTGGCTTATTCAAAGAATGACATTTCTATCTAGTTTTCTTTAGTCAGGATGCAGGATTTTCTAAACCAGGATGTGGGGCCAACAGCACATTCTGCTTTCAGATTCTGGCTTTTTAGGAGAACAACATTCTAATAAATTATTTATTTATCTTGATTTGATTATACATTCTCTAATTTCTGACTTATCTTTTGAATTCAACAGAAACTATTGTTTGAGCCAATTGTGATTTAGAAAATATTTCAAATCCAGATTTATAATCTCCAAACAAATTATGATTTGTAGCCAGATTGGAGATTAAAACTAAACACAGGAACATTAACCCTCTGGAATACTCCCCTACCCCGAAATGCCTACTACAATATATGATCTTTAAAGTATCTGTTGAAAATATATTCTTCACCAAGGCCTTCCCAATAAAAAAAATGTGAAAATATTTCTTCCCACTGTTTTTTAATGAATATGTTATATTTGTTATTTAATAAGGTATTATAGTATTTTAGGGTGTCATGATGATTATTGGTTTGAGATGCTATGATCTAGGCAGTGTTTAAAAATAAAATAAATATTGTGTGCAGCTGTATATGTGTCATTGAAATGGTAAATCAGTATGATTTGTCACTTAATTGGTTTGAAAACAATACATTTGTTGTTATTATCTTTTCAATTCTGTTTTAGACCTGAAGTTACATTTACAAACCACAGATTATGGAAACTTCTTGGCCAATGAAACTGGTCCTCTTACCGTTTCTACAATTGATGACAAACTAAAATTCAAACTGTTGACAGAATTTCAGTATTTTAGAAATCATGCATTTGAACCACTTTCAACTTTTCTAAATTATGTTACGTAAGTAAAGTTACATCCTGAAATTATTGTTCCAGTGAGCTATGAAGAGGAGCTAAAACCTATGTCTTTATACTATTGAAAAGTACAACATAACTGTATAACTGTTATAAAAAAGTATAACTGACCTAAGCGTAGTACATAAAATTATCCGTTACAATGTCCTACCTGTCAATGACTATTTCAGCTTCAACCACAACAATATACAAGCAAACAATAGATACAAACTTAAGATAAACCGCTCCAAACTTGACTGCAGAAAATACGACTTCAGCAACAGAGTGGTCAATGCTTGGAATGCACTTCCTGACTCTGTGGTTTCTTCCCCAAACCCCCAAAACTTTAATCTTAGACTGTCTACTGTCAACCTCACCCCATTCCTAAGAGGCTGTAAGGGGCGTGCATAAGCACACCAATGTGCCTACTGTCCCTGCCCTAATGTTTCTTTTTATTCATATCCATTTCATGTATCCAAAATCATGTTTATACTTATATAGTATGTTATCTAATAAATGCTTGACAAAACAAACAAACAAACAAATAAATAAATAAATAATAAAAACATCTTGTTAAAAACATGAACTGACCTGTTGAATACGTCATGGGAGACAACTGGAAAATCTTGGTGTTGTAGATTAGAGTAGGACACTCAAAAAACTTTGCAAAAGATCATAACAAAATCCTCCAGCCTGTTGTCAAGAAACCAACACCGACACCCTCATCTATTCATCAGAAGTTAAACTCAAGGAAAATTTAACTTTTATCTTAGAATTTATTTTTAAAAACCTAGCTATCTCAAACATACATATTCTTGAATATGCTATTGCTGTTTAAATATTAATCATGAAAATCCCCATGTTATGCTTGCCAAATTGCTTCATAAACTGTGTCTTCTTGGCTAGGTAGCTTCACACTGTTGGAATGGCCAAGCAAAATACAGAATGTTTCCATCCAGAAATATTAGTTTTACTTGTATGCCAGTTTAATACATAGACTTACATTAGAGCAATAGAGCATTTTTATGCTGCCACACAACTGCTAGATAGTGTGTATCTCTTTGTTGGCATCTGCTAGTCTTTGGGACATTTTGATACTACGCTGAGTAGCCTTATTTAAAAATCCGAAACAGAACTGCAACTTTTTTTTCCTAGAAATTTTTTTCTGTTATTGTAGGAATATTTCACTCAGTAGGAAAGATGAGTCATAAAAATGTCAGAGAGTTTTTAACCTTGTTGATCTTTCTTTTTTTGTAAAAACGGGTTCCAATTTCATAACATAGAAATCACAGAGGTAGAAGAAAGCTTAGCACCCATCCTATTCAGTGGAGGATCTGCAAGAATAACTCTGAGACCTCACCATCCAGCCTCTGTTGAAAAACTTGCAGTAAAAGTAAATTTATCATTTCATGTGGCTTCATGTTCCACTGGCTGACAAGTCATATAAACAGGAAGCCCAGACCTAGAATGATCCCCCTCCCCTTGTAGCATGAGTTAGTTTTCAGAAATGATTTAAAAATTATTATGAAATAGACTGAGCCTGAACTATGTCCAGAGAATGTTGAATGCAGATCATTGTAAAAACCTGGCATTGTTAAGCAGCACCCAGGCAATTCTGAATAGTGGAATGATCACTGTTATTATTGACAACAGCCCAACCATTGCCCACACCACCACATTTATTATTAGGTGGCTGGGTCTTATTTTCATTTAAAGTTTTCACAAAGCTCTTAGCCAATGTTGCTCCCAAGGTTTGTGGGCAAATTCAAATGCAAGGACATCCAATAATTCAATACCTTTTGGAGCAGTCACAATAACATTGTGGTGCTATTATTATCAGTCTTTAGAACAGTGTTTCTCAACTTTAGCAATTTTAAGATAAGTGGACTTCAACTCCCAGCATTCCTCAGCCAGCATTCTGGGAGTTGGAGCCCACCCATCTTAAGTTGCTAAGGTTGAGAAACACCCTGTAGCACGTAGACAGCATGCTAGGAAGCATTGTGAGCAACTCTTACATTATGTCCTCTAAGCATTCACATGGTTGCCTTAGCCTTTGCCTTTGCCTTGGCAGTTGTAACAAGAACTCAAAAGTAACTAAAGGCCAACAAATCTCCTCTTTCATGCCAGACATTGGCACCATGGATTGAAGTAGACATGCCAGGGATACTTGATCACTGCATTACTGTAATGTTCTGGGTACCTGATATGGCACTTTTACATAATATAAGGTGATGACCTAATTAGGCAATATAGCATTTAGCTAACCGAGTAGAACAATATTCGGTATGTTTGGGAACCAAGCAGGGATGGTGGTATTTGATTATTAACGTTTACTACTCACTGTTTCACTTTAAATTGAGTTAAATTGTATTAATATGTCATTATTATTATTATGCTCATATTAATTTTTAGAAAAAATGGTTACCATTGTTTTGTATTATTGTTGTAACCACTTTAATACTTGGAGATAATTAAATATATTAATATATTAATTAGTAGTTTGCATCTAAAAATTAAAGATGCAAATGCTAGGTCAAGAGACCTTGTTTATATTTCACTTGGCAAAATTGCTTTGAGATGCTAGCAATGTGGAAACTAAGTAGAATCAGCCTTGGTAAATTACTTGAATAGAGAACCATCTAGGAATTCCATGGCTGTTGGACAGACTGAAAGTAAATAAAAGCTACCATCCTGCTAAAGAAGACAAAGGAAATACATTTCTTCCTGGATGCAACTACCAAGTTCAAATCAGGATGCCTTTATCTTAGATTTTTATTATGAGTGATGCTTGGGAAGCTGCTCTGTGCCCACAAGAATTCTGGGAGATATGGCAATCTGGGAAGAAACTTCTAAAATCTCTGATTGTTTTCTTATTTATTTATTTTAGTTAACAGATCCAGAGATGGATCTATAATTTCTTCTAAAGACCTTTCCTTGAAAAATAGTGTGACTGATTTTAGCCTAAACACATTTTCCTTAAGCAACTAATTTGGACTTTCATAAAAGAACAATTATGCGTTAGCTGTGTTCATTATTGCTACATCTTTACAGCACAGAAGGTTTTTTGTTCCCCTTAAATGTCAGAATAACTGACTGACTTTGAGTAACATGCACTTAGACTGGAGACTGGGAGTCATCTGTCATTATCTCTTAAGCAACAACATGACTTAGTCTGTCTCCTAAGTTGCCACTAATGTTTTGGGGTCCCTTTGCTGAGAATGCCTATTGAGGCAGAGTGACCTAGAACCTGTTTTAACCCCCTTCTGATTCTATCAAAGCAAAATATGTCACAAGCCTAATATATGTACTGAAAAACAACATATCCTTATGTTATTTCATGTGATGACATTTGCATACTTTTAAGGAAATAAATTTATAGCAAATGATTCCCATAGTCTCAGTTACTGTTGTGTGGTGAACAAATTCTATGAATTGGGAATAAATTTAAATAGAAATGGAGCATGTTAAGCACTTTTAAGTTCCATTGAAATAAATGACTAGTGTCCAAAAATATGTGTTTTGTGTGAAAGAAAATGATGTAATGTTCAAAGAAAAACCATAGAAATTACTTGATAAGATAATTTAATAAACTAGTGTGGAGACTGAAAACATGCAGACAAGCTATGTGTTACTAATTGATTTTTTTTCCTGATTTGCAGTAAATATGTACATTTTTTCTCCTTTGTTGATTTCTAGCAACTGTCTGGATTACTTCCCGTAGTTTTCTTGGCAAATTTTTTACAAGTGGTTTCTTATTGTCTGCTTCCTAGAACTGAGAGAGATTGACTGGCCAAAGGTCAAATACCTGGCTTTTGGCCTAAGGCAGGACTAGAACTCACAGGCTCCTTGTTTCTAGCCTGGTGCCTTCCAACCTTCCTCATACATTCAAATACTTACCTTTTAACTCTTTATAACATTGTAGGGGACACAGTAGCTCAGCAGTTAAAGATGCTGAGCTTGTCCACAGGACAGCTGACAAGTCTGGGTTCAAGACCCGAGTGCTGTGTGATGGAGTAAGCTCCCCAGGTCCTGCCCATCTAGCAGTTCAAAAGCATGCAAATGCAAGTAGATAAACAGGTACCACTTTGAATGTAAAGGTAACAGCA